GATTCCACTAGCATACTTCCAGGGGGTGAATCTTGGTTTATTAATATGACTTAGATGACTATCAGATTACATTTTCGGATTCATTCATGCAGAAATACAGACCAGAATTCCAAATGTGCACAAACCAAAAAAAGGTACACTCACCTCTTCTAAGTTCTGCGTTTTCTTGTTTAAGCCTTTTTATTTTGTCCTCAGGCCTTTCTCTCTCCTGCAGAAATGAGAAATATTGTCTGTTTTGATGGTTCGTATACAGCTGGATATAAAAGTTTGGGTACTCCTAGTCAAATTAACATACTGGAGAAAATAAAACATGCTTATGTCGCCTGTGCAAAAGTTAGAGCACATTTGAATAATATTTTCTCCCAAATCTCTTTTAAAGTTACCATTTTGGAGATACAAGGTTTTATCACCAATGATATTCAATTAACTATTAATCTCTTATTAGAGTAAATTAGATTAAAGCCTTCCTTTAGTTCCTTCTCCTAAATAAGCACAACAGATGTACTGCCAAGTGTTACCTTTATCTTCAGCCAATCTGTAATCTTGAATAATGCTTCTTTATTCTTGCTACATCTTAATAATCCCTTGTCTTCATAAAACAGACAGTCCACTGTGAGTGTGTTCTCTCTGGTTACCCATATGCTGCTGTCTGGTACAGTGCTATCTGGATTAAATGTGTGATGGAGCACCACCAGAATAACAGGCTTGAAGTCTGAAACAAAACATAACAGAATGTAGTCTTCCAGTGTAAAATGTGTCATCTTCAACTGTGGCTTAAAATAATTATATATGATTTAAAATCTAGTGAATGTGCAATTTCCATACACACACATGCACTGTTACTTGTAAAGTGAGATTGTTGTTATACCACGTTTTATGAACTTGATAGAGGCTTGGAATTACCTGAAATTTCAAGATTTTGCAGCGCTACTTTTATGTCACATTCAATCTGTGAAACAACAGGACAGAAAACCAGAACAACGTCAGACTCCTCCTCTGTAAACACCTCCTTTAGTTGTTGAACTTCATTATGCAGAATTTTCTTCATGGTCTTATCAGCTTCTAGTGTTGCTCCAGTCACAACAGTGAAATACTGAACCACTCCTGAAGAGAAAAACACATACACTGATTTTGGATGAGTTCCAAACTTTACATGCTCCCCATTTTATCCAGCATAGCAATATTAGACACACACACACGCAGTTATTCCCGGGTTTGGCGATACCTTACTGCATAGGGCACCACAGCCACCAGAGGAACACTGTAAAAAGTGGCTCATCAGGTCTACTTCAAAAATTACTTCATGTGGTAACAAGTAAATGAACTAGTTGTATTCAACCTAAATAAATACTTTAATTGAACGATTCTTTCAAACAAAATCATAGTAAGTAGTTCCTTCAATAAAGAGCATTTTTGAGCAGAAACGATAGTCTCGCCTGACTCATCTGAGTGAAAGCCAAGCTTACCACTCGTGAACTCATCCACTACTCAGAAGACTGTGCAGTTCAGTCATCCCTTAAAGGAGTTTAATAATGCTTAGAATAACTGACTCATCACAGTGATTTATCAGGCTTTAGTGGGTGTTTTTGTAAAGAAACCATTTACCACTGATTTCTCATATATACACTTATATATATATATATACCATATAATTTCATATCTTAAACTTAAGAACTTAAGGGATAACTTACTGTTGCCCATGGTTGTATGAAGGTTCAAACTGTAAAATAAAAAAATAAATAAATAAATCTTCAGACAGTGAGGATCACATAAACATCATTTTAGCATTTCCAGCTAATTCCACTCTGATACAGAACCTACAATCAAGTCTCATTCACAACAGCCAGAGGAGGGAGTGGCTTTATTAAAGCAGATTTCACATTTACACATAAATACCGTCTCAGAGCTCCTCTTACCTTCACTACAATCCAGGCTGGTCACCAATAAACTACGCTTCTTTCACTTTCACAGCAAGAACGCAGCGCTGCATCACGACGCTCTTATTCCATTGGCTCTGATGGAGGGTGGGATGCAGCCTGTAAATCCACGTACAGGGGAAATTTCTTCCTTTTTCCGAGTCATCCAGTGGACAGGGATGACATCATACTTAAACTTATGCTAAAAGGGCCGTTTGTAACACTCTGACTCGTCTGATTCTAAAGGAATACACCAAACTACTTTTCAAGCGATTCCACTGTTGTAGACAAGCGAGCGTCTTGCTAGAGGTGGGCGCGCTCCGCGCGTCTCGACCGTTTTGGGTAAAGTGGTCTGGACTCGTCTCGTCCTTCCGACAAAAGACGTTTAGGTCTTGGCTCATGCAAATAGTAACTAGTTTCAGCTTTCTCTGCAGTCCAGTTAGCGGAGGGCTTTGGTGATGAATAAGCAGATGAGACAGCAGCGCAGGATTGATGCTGACAAGCGACTCGGACACACGATGGCGTTGCAATTCGTTTATTAACTTCTTGACCGTATAAAGCCAGGCCTCACGGCCTCACCTGTCTGATCATACATGAACTAAAACCAGTCTAAAGCCCAGTGGCGGTGTTACTTACAAAAAGTAATAAAAAATAAAATAAATAAAAGAACTAAATCCAGTGATCTTCCTCTCTCTACTGCACAACTGCGCAGTGCACCTGCGTACATTCTGCTGCTTGAGCGCTTCTTAAAGGGACAGTGCACCTTTACTGGCCGTTACACACTGCAAGATCCCCAGTCTGCAAAACCATAATCTGTGAGTAAAAGCTCTGTTGGATGTAAGAGAGTGTCAGACTTCTGTCTTTTAAAAGTCTTTTTATAATCTTTCGAAATCTCCTTTATGGTAGTACAAAGTGGGGAAGAACGGCAGAAGCGGAAATGAATGAAAGGGAAACAGGGAAAATGAATGAATGAATGAATGAATGAATGAATGAGTGAGTGAATGTTCTGCTTAATGAATGCAAAAACACGCCCTGCTTTATCTGGGTCCATATGTGTAATAGTGTAAATATAGTCCCTTTGCAATGCTACATAAATGGGAGAACAGCGCCATCTGCTGGAGAGGTTATGTCACTACTGGCTCATCCACAACAGAGCTATTTTGTTCTGCTGCAGCTAAATCCCATTTACCAGACACTCTTATCCAGACCCACTTTCAATTTCATCTTTTACACAGGCAGGTAGTGTTAGGAGTCTTGCCCAAGGACTCTTATTGGTATAGTGTGCCAGGCAGCAGATTGCACCCTTTTCTTCCAAGTTATTTAAAAATGTGAGATTATCTGGTTTAAAGACCCGGAAAACCTCCTTCTCATGTTGTATCTTAGAGGTAGGAGAAACTACAACTGCTTTTGGGTGGATTTCTGAGGCTGCTGGAATTATTTTTTGTTCTTTCTTTAACTGGGGGATTCAGAGAGCTAACATTGCTGCTTTAAGCAGTAATTAAGCATTAAGCAGATAACTGTGGTAACAGTCTTACATAATCTACATTTGTTATAAAAGCAAATTCTGTTAAACTAATGAGGCTGAGGGAAATAGTGCTGCAATAACAAGACAAATCAAATCTACTTAAGTAAACTCTACTTTTAGGCTGGATTGCCAAATAAAAAATTCAACACAATTTGCAGGATCTGTGTAAGACATGACCAGTGGAGTGCCCAGGGGCCTATGACTATGTAGAACCATCTCACGACCCACTCAAAAATAACTCAGTGAGGGAACTGTGCGCCCCCTGAGAGCTGAAAGTGAAAGTGTGGTGCTCAGTAAACAGGTCTTAGAATGAAAGTGCAACCGCCCTTTATTCTTGCACAGTCACTGTGGAGAGCAGCTGTGGTAAGTAAATGCTGTGCATCCTTCAGCGTCTCATTTAAAAAAAGACTGATATTGGTGCAACATCAAGTTCTTCTCTACTTTCTAATCGAAATGCATTGTATTGTAATTTCTGGTTAGGGCTCAGTAATGAATGGACTTATTAGATGTGGGTTGTCATTACTTGTACTTGTGGGTTGTCATTACTTGTACTTCTCCACGACCAAGAAGATTAACATGTGTGTAATATTTGTAGCAATCAAATGGAAATAGACTGATAAGAAAAGCACTGATTGTGCAGAACTAATAACAGACTGTTGGTGAAATGAAACTGTTGGACAGAAATGTCAGAAATCAAAATCAAAAGTGAAATCAGTGAGAGTCAAAGCGAAAGGGTGGTGGTCAGTGACACATTATCCAGAAAGTCTATTTGAAATGACGAAAAGGGACACTCGGACCAAAATGACAACACCAGTTAATTAGAATATCAAATATTGTAAATAATTATAATTTAAAAACTTTGCTGTGCACTATACAACATGTACTGTCTGTACTAGAGGCTTTCAGCCCTTGAGGTCTGGGTGCCAAACAATGGTTTTCTTTACTTAACTGTCAGGATTGATGACAAAATGAAGAGCCAGTTTACGTCATCTGTTGAATTATCTACCAGTAATTACAAATCCAGGCCTAGATTTAAATTCAAAGTCCAAATTTGAGGAGACCTGCTAAAATAGCGACACAATTCACACATCACAGTCCTCTGATTGACTCAGACTCAGAGTTTAGTGCCGATTTTTACTCAATAATGACCAATAGAATAAAACACCATCAAAATTCTTGTACTTTCAGCTCAAAGACACTCCAGACTAACAATTTCTGAAAAGGTATCTGAGGTGCAACTTGTTTTCAAGATCTATATAAGCAAAAAAATGTAAAATTTATCAGGCGCTAGGTAAATTTTTGATCAAAAATGACCCAAATTCATAAAGATATCAAATTTCTGTTGGCATTTACATGTCAAACAATGGCATAGCTGAGTAGCCCAGGGTCTCCTGAAAATAACAACATATAGCATGTGACTGTCGTATGTAAATTCCTTGTAATTGCAATTGTAATTGTAATTGACCAAAAATACCCAAAAAAAAAAAAAATCCCAAAAAGTTTAGGGTTTTAAGGGCTAATAAACTGCAAATAGCAATATCTTGTTCATGGGATGTACCTGTAGAGAATTGACATCACACTTTTAACCAAAGAACAACTTTTACAGTAGTCTTTAAAATTGTTTTCAGTGTGAATCTCTCATGCAGGTAATGGCAGATAAGAAACAGCTTTATGATGATGTCAATGAAGAGGAAATCATTGAACATGGGCAAGTTGAAGATCCCAAACTAAAGCCCATCACCCCAACACCTGTTAAATCTTATAAAAAATTGCTTGGATTTGGTAATATGGCAATAAGAAACTTTTACCTTTATGCATGTATGAGAATGGCTTTGTGTATTATGAAAATCTCTGATATGCAGGATTACATAGCAGATTTTCATTCATTGATAATGAGAATATTTAAATGATTGTGATAATTATGACTTATTTTTTTTTTATTAATTGTACAGATTATTCCATTTAGGGCTTGGTCATATGTTTGATCCTTTTCTTAAGCAAGGCCCCTAACTCAAAGGGGACTCACCATAGTTGGTTAAAGTAAACCACTTTGAACAGAAGCATCAGCTAATCAGTAAAACGTTTTTATCTGGATTAAAATGCCTGTCAGTCTTGCATACTAAATATTCTCTGGCTTGACAACTATATTACTGAACGTAATATCATGGCCCTGGCTGAGGGATGAATTAGACCAGAAAACCTATGTATAAAATCTTTTGTGTGTTGTTTTTATTTTTATTTATCAGGGATGAAGCGCCTGAAATACATCACAATTGTAGCTGGAAAAACCCTGAATTCTCATGAAGACTTGAAAAGGCGTCTTCACGATGAAGTGTCAGGTTTGCGGGAGGTGTCTGAAACGGAGAAGCATGGTATGATTCTGCTTTTCTGTCCTGTTGTTTCACATGCTGGAACTGACATTGGAGCAGCGCTGGACAAACTTCATAATATTTCAGGTATTTTGAAATCTTTACTGGTAAAGAAGAGGAAAAAAGCCTTGTTGTTTATCAGTTTCAACTTGAAAAATTGAAAATTTCCATGATTCGAAGAACCTTTAAATGAATAAATTCCAAACACCACGGGCAGCTGGTCATCCTCCACAAAATACAATGAATTACAAAGTAAATACAGGAGAAAGTTTATGAACGAACTTCAAATTGGCTTAACAAAACCATTGCTATGGGAACCCAGCTTGTTGCCAAGGTGTTGCTAGGCTATTGCTATGGTATCTCAGGTGGTTGCAAAGGTGTTGCTAGGCCTTTGCTTCATTGCTATGGTATCCCAAGTGATTGCTAAGGTGTTGCTAGGATGCTGCTATGGTATCTCAGGCCGTTGCTAAGGTGTGGCCTGGCCATTGCTATGTTATCCCAGGTGGTTGCGAAGGTGTTGCTAAGCCATTGCTAGGGTATTTCAGGTGGTTGCTAAGGTGTTGCAAGGCCATTGCTATGTTATCCCAGGTGGTTGCGAAGGTATTGCTAAGCCATTGCTAGGGTATTTCAGGTGGTTGCTAAGGTGTTGCAAGGCCATTGCTATGTTATCCCAGGTGGTTACTAAGTTATTCCTAGGTTTGTCAAGCCAACTTAATGAATACATTTAATAATATTTGCAAACTTTTTATTTGCTAGTTCTGTCTTATTAACCATGAAATTACTGTTTCTGATGTGACAAATAGCAGCATCAGAGGCAGCATCTCAGTTTTTGAACCAAGGCCAAGGTAAATTTCTTTACAGGCTCTTTACCTGTTGTTCTAGTGGTGCTCCATCAAACACGTGATGCAGACTGCATTATACCAGACAGCAGTAGATCAGTAACCAGAGAGAACACACTCACAGTGGACTGTCAGTTCAATGAGGATAAAGGACTGCTGCGGTGCAAGAAGAATGATGATGCAATACAGAGTATCGTAACATGGATTAAACCACTAAAGGTTTTGCTTTTTCAATTTCTTCTCTCTTTATGTTCACAGCTTACATTTATGACTTATGTTCCTGAGGTTTATGAATCTTTAAACCCAATTTCTTACCCACAAAATAAACACAGAAGAGATCTGCTTGTTTTTCATTTTTTTGAAATATGAGTAGCACCTGTGGCTGATACTTTTGAAATGATTTGTCCCCTGTGTGGACATACCATTCAGGTTTTGTGGCAGTTGGCCAATATTAACCCCATGAAATGCCAGCCAAAACTTGATTGGCCATTGGCAGCGATGGCTTTTATGATGTCCCTCTTTTTAAATGTAATAATAATACTAATAATAATGATAATACATTTTCATTTATTGTTTGTGTTCCAGGTTTCCCGAAGGAACCTTTGCCGCTGTTTTATCTGCTGTCTCAGTGCAGATCCTGCTGAATAAGTGCCGGATAGAGTGAAGATGTTGTTGAAGAGAGTGCAGCTGCAGTAGGAGACCTCATCCTGCCAGACAGGAAAGGAGCTGTGAATATTTCAAGGACAAATGTAGTCAGTAAATCATTATCAGTACAGATTGTCAGAGACATAAACAGACAAAAAATGCTTCTTGTTTTGCTCATCTGAAGAATGTTAAATTTTGCTTTATTAAGCAATGCTATGGTTAACATGTATTTAATCCTATTAAATTCCTCTGTTACAAGTGATATATGTGTTCAGCATCTTCAGTAGATCAGAATTCTTTTCTGACCAGGTTTCAACCATGATTGACATAAATTGTGTTTTATAGTTGAATGCAAAGGTTGGGCACTCTGGCTGAATTACATGTTTTGCTGATTTTTGAAAACACAACACCGGCAGCAAACTATAAAAAAAATAGTTTTCCACAAATGTTAGTGCTTGTTATTGTGCTTATTTATATTCAATTAACTTAACCTTACAAAGTCAGTACTTAGTAACACCCCCTTTTGCATATAGCCAGCTAGCAGTCTGTTCTTTACAAATTGTCTTCCACTCTTCTTTGCAAAAAGCTTCTAGTTCTGTAATGTTCTTTGGTCATCTTGCATGCACAGCATGTTTATGATCTACTCACAGATTTCCAATGATGTTCATTCAGGGGATTGCGAGGGTCATTCCAAAAGCTTCAGCTTGTTTTTCCTGGTGGGTGGTGGATTTTGAGGTATGTTTTAGAGACTGTCCTGTTTTAGAAGCCAGCCTGACCTCGTAACTGACTGTGTAACATTTGTTTTCAGATATCCATTCTTTCACGGACCTGTACAATGTTTCATGTGCCACTGGCTGTCACTTGACCCCAGAGTATAACAGATCCACCCTCATACTTAACAACTGGGAAGATGGTCTTTTCATCAAATGCTGATCCTTTTTTCTCCAAACATATATTTGGTGATTGTGGCCCATTTTTAGTCCACAGCAATTGATTCTAAAATGCATCTGGCTTATCTTGTTAATGTTTTATATACTTCAGATTAGGGATGCATTGAGCAAACTCCCTAAGAGCAAGAGGAAGAAACCTTGAGAGGAACCAGGACTCAAAAGAGGAACCCATCCTCCTCTGGTCGACACCGGATAGCAACCAATAAAAAAAAGCAATATGAGCAGAGAATAAAGTTTTAACATTAGTATAAAACATAACAATACAGAAAAGGAGAAAAGCAGGTGAAGCAATGGCTATTATTAAATAGTTCAAGTCTGTGCAGCAGCAGCAGCATCAGAAAGGTCAGTTCATGCAGGTGAGGTTTGCACAGAGTTATACAGCAGGAAGCACCGTGGTGGTCAGCTTGGTAATGAAAACACACAAAGAGTTAGTTCTGTAAAGAATGACTGATTACAGTATGCCGTTTTAACAGAGAGCAGCAAGATCCAGAAGGTAACAGAGGCATGAGGGCTCCCTGAGATGTCAGCACCTCTCCGCCCCCCCATCAACAAATTTGAGTGAACACGTGAGAGCAGTGGGATGACAGCACCAACACTCCCAGTTTACCATAATACTCTATGTACATGAACCCCAGATCTGCACCTTTTATCTAACAGGGAAAACTAAATACCAAAGGCTTGACTAAACCAGTAGGTTTTTAGCCTAGACTTAAAGACTGAGGCTGTGTCTGATTATTCCAAAGCTGGGGGGATTTGTATGAGAAACCCCATGGTAACTTTATTAATTCTAGGTATTAATACTAAGCCAGCACCTTGTGATCTAAGTAGGCATGATGGTTCATAGTATGAGAGAAGTTTACTGAGGAGCTTTATAGGTCAGTAAAAGAATTTTGCAATCAATGCAAAATTTAACTGGCAACCAGTGTATGTTTCATAAACCAGACAGCAGGGAATTACAGTAATCTAGCTTTGAGGTAATAACTGCATCCTGTAGAGACGACACATTTCTTAACTTAGCAGTATTGTGGAGATGCAGGAAAGCTATTCTAGTAATATTGGCTATATGTGCATCGAAAGACAGATGGGAAGCTATTATGACACCAAGGTTTTTTGGGCTGGAGGTTAGGGAACCAGCCTTGCAAGGGTAGGTCACTGCTTCGATCCCCTGAGCTGACAGTCTGTGACTGAAGTGTCCTTGAGCATGGCAGGAAGGAGGAAGTTACTTGACATCCAGTCTTTTATGTCCTTTACACAGTCCTCAATCATATTAAGCTGAAGTTTATCATCTGGTTTGGCTGATATATATATATATAACTGTGTGTCATCGGCGTAGCAGTGGAAATTGATGCCATGTTTACTGATAATGGTATCCAGTGGTAGCATATATAATGTGAATAATAGAGGTCCTAAAACAGAGCCTAGTGGCACACCATTTTTTTAAAGGAACAGATGATTCACCGTTTACATTCACAATCTGATAGCGATCAGTCAGGTAAAGTGGTCAAATGCCACACTAAGATCAAGCAGAACTAGCAAAGACACATTTCCTTAGTCAGAGAATAATAAGAGATCGTTTACAATCTAGTGCTGTCTCTGTACTATAATGAGGCCTAAAACTAGACTGAATTTTTTTTTATGTACATGATTCCTGGGCTAATAAGAACTTAGTTGTTTTGCCACAGCTTTTTGCAAAATCTTGTAGGAATTGGATCTAATATGCAAGTAGAAGATTTTGAGGAGGAAATAATTTTATAACTTGCTCAGTTTGTTGGAGTAAGGTAAATGATTCTAGCCTCTCTGCAATAGTTACAATATTCTCAAGATCTGGATTAGCTTTGTGGGGCAGCAGGTTTGTAGAGGTTAACTGTGCATTTTGAATTTTTTGCCTGATTGTTTCAATTTTATTACTAAAGAAATTCATAAAATCATTGCTGCTATAGGCTGATTGCATCTAGTTTTCAGTAGCTGCTTGGCTCTTTGCTAATTTAGAAATTGTGCCAAATAATAATCTAGGATTATTCTTATTATTTTCAATTAGAGAGGACAGATAGGTCCTGCAGTAAGTGCTCTTCTAAAGTCTATAAGGTTCTCTTCCAGGCGGACTGGAATATTTCTAGTTTAGTCAGGCAACATTTTCGCTCTAATTGTCTGACAGGCTGTTTTAAAGCTTGAGTAAGATCATTGTGGGGCAGCTTTTTGTGCCTTATTATTTTACTTTTTAATGGAACCATATTATCTAGAGTAGAACGAAAGGTATCCTCTAAGTACTCGGTCAAGCTGAATAGAAGCTGAAAGATCTGGGAGGTTTCTGATAAAGCCTGTAAAAACACAGCCTGCATTCTCCATGTTCATATGTACCAGTGTAAATGTAGTCCTGTCAGAGAACTTATCAATCTGTAATGTCTGCAAGTCCAAAATGAATGGGCTAAGATGGAGCATTTGAGCAAAATCATAGTTTATAAATGCTTAAACATTTGTAGTGTAAAATCATCAATCATTTCCTGAACACAGAACAGCTTAAAACATTTTAACACTGCTGTTTTATTTTTAAGAGCTTTTAAACTCGAGTTAAAGGAGTTTTAAAAAGCGCCTCATGTGTGTCCATGACGTCTGTGAGCACGAACAGCCAATGAGCTGCTCCGCTTGCCAACCAATCAGCCCTCAAGTAGCAGTAATGCCAGCCTTCTGCTGCCCAGAACCTGTCTGCTGTAGAAGAAAGGAAATATATAGGTAAGTTTTCTATGCTTTTTTAGTGAAATATGTCCTTCTGAATAGGAAGTGGCCAGGCTCTTCATAAACCAGCTCTGGTCCCATTGCATTGCTGTATAAATGGAGAAACAACGCCATCTGCTGGTATTATGGAAAATGACAGAAAATTGTATTTTCTTTCCTTCAGGACCAACAGGAATAGCAAGTGTGCAACATTTGTGTCAATCAAAGTAAATACATTCTAACTAATGTACAGGAAATAAATTAAACTCAGTGTTTATCAATTTGTAGCCATGCTGATGAGAAAAGCTCTGACTGTGTAGAACTAATAACAGACTGTGGGTGAAATAAAATGACTACGTAGAATCATAGAATCACACAACCCCCCAAAATGACCTTGTGTGGGATGTCTCCCCCCATCCTCCCTGATTGTGCACCAGTGTTGGTAGCATACAAGCATCATTTAACATAATTACAGACTGTAATTTGCAGAGCTTACTGTATTCCTGAATACAGTATCAGGGTGGGAACGCAAAACTGATAACACATGCTGCAATGGAAAGATAGATGGAGAAAAATTATGCAGTAGAAAGTAAAATAATTCATTCAATAAAACTACATTTAAAAGGACACAGAACAAGAAATGACCTACTTATCAGCACATCTACATCATTCATGCCAAGGCCACTGAGTGCTAATTTTAATGTTACGGCTTATTAATCTTTGGACTCTAAAGATGAGAAAGGATGAGTAAGGACTCTCCGCAGTCAGAGAGCTGAAAGTGAAAGTGTTGGTGCTTAGTAAACAGGTCTCAGAATAAAGTGCAACCTCCCTCCATTCTTGCACAGTCACTGTGGAGAGCAGCTGTGGTGAGTAGATGCTGTACATCCTTTAGCATCTCATATAATGGCTAATATTGATGTATTTGCAGCATCACGTTCTACCTTCTAATCTTAATGTTGACTCTTTCTTCTACTCAAGTCTGTGGGTGAGGAAAGTCGTTTTGATAATTTCTTTATATTCTTTGTATTACATTGATGAAGCCTCTGTACTTCCTTGTGATTGGTCACATTTCTGGCTTCTGACTGTTCAGATTTATCATTTTATTTTAGTTCATATGCTGATAAATGCTGGATGTGCTAAGAAGTTCCACTGCAGTGTTTTTTTGATCGGGTAGTTATGTGTCTCTACTCGTCTTGGTTTTTTGGAAAGGAACCTTTTAGGGATGCATCATATATCACAGGGGCGTACGCTGGGCACATCAAGATCCGGGGCTCAGTCTAGTTCATTGTGCAAACTGTTTTAGGATATCATCCCCGGTAATTTTTAATGAAAGATTTTTATTTTTAAATTTTAATGTTTTTATTTAATGAGGTCAAGAAATCAACAAAATGTCTGTCTACTCAGCAATATTGATTGGCGTGTATTATAAACAAAATCATAAAATAGCTTTCATGCTAAAACAAAGTATTCTTTTTGGTAATTTTGTGTCCTGATTAACACTGTTAGAGGTCTGCTACATAACCTGAGCCCAGCAAGTTCTAGAAAATATCAAGTACATAAATGTTTTCACACACAGCAAGGGTTTCCAATATACACTGTA